TTTTTAGAGTAGACAATTATCTATAAAATAGCACATTAAAAGAGTATATATGACAAAAAGATTTGAAAGTTCATTATATTTCCATGCCAAACATGGTTTTGTTGAAAATATGAACTCTAGATTTAAATAATTGAAAATTTGATCAATTTTTATTACTATATAAAAATAATCCATAATAGTCTGTGTATAGAGATAAGTCTACTCTATAATTTCTTTGGTAAATCAAACTTTAACAAAATTGTCGCCAAAATCAGAAAAATCAATAAGCTTCTTCTTTTCTTTATAGACTAACTTTTTGTGTCATGCAAAGTTGTGTTCGGTACACAAAAATTAGCAGTGACAGAAATCATTTGTACTTAAAGTTAGAAACCTTTTTTTGTTTTCTAAATGTTTTAGTAGAAGAAAAACGAACAAAGATTTGTGCAAAAACATTCATATGATCTGCTATATTAAACCCTTTCATAGCAACCATAGAACAGTCTATCGTTGAGAGTAGATTGATAAATCTTTTCACAGCAGTCATAATATAATTTATCTTTGTGTACAGAATATAAATTCTTTCGCTTATAAACAGTTTGATTCAAAAACGTTTTCGTGAGTTTATGACAATAGAATAAATTCTCATAGGATTTATGATCGATGTCATAAACTCTAACAGTTTATTATTCTGCCCTCATTAATTTTATATAGTGTAGCCAAAAATAGAATGAAAGATTCATAATTTGCTCGAACTGATTTTTTTCTTTCTTTGTTTATCTTTTGAATCAACGTATAACTAAATAAGAAAGAAATTTCATTAGCATGTCTTCTATCATGAGATAAAAAGAGACGAAATCATCTTTTGAACAGATCTTCAACATTTTCATCTTTTCTTCTAATCAAAAAACAAAAAATCCAAGCTCATCTAGAACAAACATTTGAGATATATAAAAAAGTGTGAACTTTCTATCTAGACTTGCTGATGTATACAAAACACAAATACATTTCTGGAATAATGAAAGCAGTCTTTAAAAGTTTAATAAATGAGAATGACGAGGATATTTCATACAAGACGAAAAACAAAAATAAAAAACAAAAAATATGTTATTATAGCAGTTGTTAAATCTCAAGTATTCTTTTCTCTCTCTTCAATCATGATCCAAACATCTTCGGGCGTGATAAATTGTTGTTCGCAGATGTACAAATCTTTGCTCATCATTGCTGTGGGCAAGAGACGACATTTACTCAAAAGTCGAGCAAGACAAAGCTTCATATAAACTATAAACAGAACGACAAAAAAATCGAAGATAATAAGAAAGAATATATACTACTTTGCAAAACAAAACACTCATGTAGAGCAAGTCGTGCTCCTAGACAAGCTCTTGGTCCAGTGCCGAATCCCTGAAAAGCCTGTGGATGACGTTTGATTTGATGTCGTTCAAGATGATACTCATCGACAGGTAAAGGACCCCACAAATCAGAATTGAAATGAACAGCAAATACATTTACTTATATCAGATCGTCTGTAAGAAAAATTTGAAGAAAAAAAGGAATTAGTATTTCAATAACGAATGTCCATCATAACAGTAATCTGCTCTGATGGATAAGTCCGAATCAATTATCGAAACAATCCTTTACACATTCGTATGAAAAAAGTTTAAAATCTCAAAATAAAAATCAAATTGTCAATAAAGTGGTTTTATATACCTTTGCGTATGTTGTAATTCAATACTTTAGTATCCTCATTGCACACACGATTGACTGATTGAACATTCACAGGATTCATTCGAAGAACTTCTCGTATGAACATGTCCATGTAATTGAGTTTCGACACATCAAGCATGTTAAAGTCAGTTGACGATAAATCTGAAATATGTTCGACAAGTTCGGCATAAACTTTGTCTTGAATTTTCGACCGCGCGGCAAGATAGTATGCAGAGCAGGCAAGAGTTGCTGAGATCGTTGTATAGCCAGCACCGAGAACAAGGAATACGTTGCTATACAATTCATTCTCTGTCAATTGAGGCTATTGAACAAATATAGCAAGACAAATTTCTATAATTCAACATCTTAATAATCAAAATGAACTTTTTTCAATTTTTTTAATATTCTATATTTTAATTTTCAATTTTTTATTTTATAATGAAAAAAGAAAAACAAATATTTTCTTCTTCAGAAATGCTCATGTTCTTTTAAATGGCTGAGGGCTGAGTTATCAAAAAATTTCCAGATCTTCTTTCCAAAACATATCTTATGTAAATAGTAAACAGCTCAACTCTTCTCAAATACTTGTTTTGATTAAAAAACATGAGCAGAGATTTGTAATATCCAGAGTTTTTCATGACTTTTTAGGTAGATGTTTACTTTCGACATGGCCGAGGATAGGACGAAAAAGAAAAACAAATTCATTCTTCCATGCAAACCTTTTCAGATCGAACAGCATTGATCATCATTTGCAAAAGATCATTACGTTTAGTTTTTAATCCATCCAGACGATCTTTAACTAGCTTATTAACATTCTCGATGTGCCACAAAGGAGCCGGTCTCATTTGCTCGCCAACAAACAGAGGAGCTAGTTTGAGAAGAGTAGCCCAAAGATAAGCCAATTGCGGCAGAGTACGATTCATCTTGCCAAGTAGTGGCGGAGCCAGGATTTTTTGAGGTGGTGGATCTCAGCTTTAAAGCATGGGTCCCAGTTGAAACATATGGGGGATAATATTGGCTTCAAATGATGAGTTTCTATCAACTGATTTTTGCGATCGGATTTTGCCAAAAAAATTAGCATTTTCCTGAGCTCCCCCAAGAAATTTTTAATATTGTCAATGGGAACTCACTTTTGAGAATGCCATCGCAAGCTACCCTGAATTTAATCGATAAATTTCAAATTTCATATAAAAATATCGATCNATCGAATGGTATATAATAGTTGGAGTTTTAGTTGACTGGTAGGAAAAGTTTTTACGAAAGTGGGAATGGGTAGATCTTTTCATAGGGAAGCTATAGGGGAAAATGGGTATTTTTGCAATGACGCAGGAACGGCTTGGTCGATCCTTCTCATCTTCGAACTCGACCGAGATATTGTAAAGACTGAACTGTATAGAAAATTTCATCGGGATCGAACTCTCCTTTCGAAAGTTATCGTGTAAACGGCCGGCCGGACAGACATACTGACCGATTCTAGAGTGTACTCACTTTTTGAGTACACAATAAAACAAAAAGTTCATTATAGTATATAGTAGGTACAACATGAACGGATGGTATATCTACAAAATAAATTTCTACGTCTGACTGAATTCTGTAATGTCTGTAAAAGTTTAATATAGTGGGTGATCCAAAATACATGATAGAACTTTGCATTTCATATTGTAATCCCTAAATACGTGTTGTTAGTTAAACAAAATGTATCATAAGATGTAGCGTGAAAAAGCTCTTCAATCCACGAAGTAAAGACTATTTTAATTGTCTCCGGTTTTTTCAACAATAGCAAAATTCTATGCGATCAATTTTCGCCGCTGAGAAATTTCGTTGCACAGTGTTCTGATTTTGCTGAAAACAAATACAATAAGCTTTACTCTGTAAATTGCGGAGCTTTTCATGCTGCATCTATTGATAATATTCTTTTTTACGAAAACATATTAGGTGATAAAAAAGATAAAATATGAAAAAAGAAATTTTTTCGTTCGTGTAGAAAAAAAACCATGTTTACGCAGCGACGATAATTGATTGCACAGAATTTTGCTTCTGTCGAAAAAAAAGTACACAATTAAAATAAGCTTTACTTTGTAGATTGTAGAACTTTTCAGGCTGCATCGTGTGATGTATTCAGCTTTTTTTTTAATAACATCTATTTAGAGATTAAAATATCGAAAGCAAAGTTCTGCCATTTATTATGGATCACCTGTTATATGCGGTCTTTAGATAATTCTTGTTAAAAAGAAGCAAGGTAAACAGTGGTTCTTTCCTTGGAAGAAATATACGCGAAAATTAACGATTGATATTGGGGTCACTGTCATCTGAATACAGATTGTTTTTATATCGTACTATGTATGAAAAATATTAGCATTAGTAAACAAGAAGAATTGAGTTCTCGTCCTTTTTACTTGCATTCACATTGATTTCAAGTCATCATAGCGTAATGATATATCCAGATTCAAGAAAATTTGAAGTACGAGAAATGATATTAATCGAAGACTTTGGTGACTACCTAGATCATCTTTGTATTAGCCATTAGGAAACTTGAAAATCAATGTGATGATCACCTGCACTAAGGTAAATCTATGTCATACGTTGTTATTACGTAATTATGAAATCTTTAAAAAATGATAATTCTCCACAGAGAACATCTTATAGTAAAAGAATTAATTTTCTCGTCTTCGCTTATTTTTTAATTGGTATTGCTTATCAAAGAAGATGATAATATTGCTAGTGACGAGCGTGACAAAAACGATTAAAACAAAAAAAATGTTTTTGTTATCAAACCAGATGTAGTTTTAAACCTACTAATAATGACTCTCATTAAAAATTTGCTTTTTTTTTCTGTTTGAATTATCTTCATAAGACTGAAAAGTTTTTAAAAAAGTTTACGTCGTAATACCTTCGTGCACGATATGTATGTAGTGAGAAAGAGACAATAATGTATATGACGAATGTGTTGTATATTGTCGACGTGTCATGTGCTTGAATGAAGCCTCCATGCACAACACTCTGTTCTTTTTTAAATCGACAGCCATGCAGTGCACTCTGCTTCACTTCTATCGATGAATAAAATGTCATATTTTTTATACTATGTAAATTTACAACTAGTAGTTTCATTTCATCGTTATTCTACAGTGCAATTGTAAACGACGAATTATCTACAGACATGGTAGTGTACTATTTTCTCTTCAAGCTTTAGTATTAAAAAAAATATTTTGATGACTGTATAGAATGAGGAACAACAACAACAACAGGTACCACTTCATTCTACTTCCTTGGAGGAGATTAAAAAAAGTCAAATTAATGAAAAAGTTTCATTATCTTTTATGAAAACCATACGTCGCCGATTACATGAACATTCTGGAATTTGGTATATGTTAACCTCAAATTTCATTTTCACTTGCTGCACGTTTGCTCTCAAACTAATACCAGCTGATATGTTTGATATTATGATTGTTCGGTTTTTAATTCAATCTATTATTTTTGGTGTATTTACTATTTTTTATAAACATTATAATGTATTTGATACAAATGGACAACCTGTTGCTTGTATATTAAATATTTTAATGTCAAATGGTACAAATTTGTTTTATTTAGCTGCATTCTATTTTGTTCCATTATCCGACGTAAATACAATCAAATATACTTATATTGTTTGGGCAGCAATATTAGCTGTTGTATTTCTTAAGGAACGTTTCAAAATTGTTAATGCTATTTCATTATTCTTAACGTTTATTGGGCTCATACTCACTACTAAGCCACATTTCTTTATGAAAACATTAGTTCATATATTTGTTCGGATATTGTCATTATCATCGTCATCATCAGTATTAATTACGACAACAATAACGACAACAACTTTAAACACAACTATTGCTACTACTGCAACTTCTTCATCTTATTATTATTTAGGGATTGGCTTAGCTTTTTTATCAGCTTTGGCAAAAGCAATACAAGTGATTGCTCGAAAACAATTACTCATAACAAAACAACCACATTCTGTTATGAATTTGCAGTTTACAAGTACTGCTCTATTAATTTTATTGATCTATAGTATTATTCGTCGATTTTGGCAACCGGAATCATATCCATGGAAATGGATGGGTACCGTAGGTGTTATTATTGCTTTTTTTCAATTATTAGCAATTATATTTTTTGCAAAAGCACTAAAACGAGAAAATGTTCAATTAATAGCAATTATTAGTTCACTTGATATAGTTTATGCTGTTCTATTACAATATATATTTTTTGGTGAAACAAAATCTTGGATATTTTATGTTGGAGCATTTCTTGTTGTTCTATCGGCGATTATCCTTTCAGTTGACTATCATGTAACTAATGAGCAAGAAAGCAAAACTCAGACAACTCATGATGAAAATCGCGAAACTAATAATAGTGTATGAACTATGTGCAATTTTTTTAAATTTAATTGTTGACCCTTTACCCCCTGGTGGGTCATTTTTGACCCATCGGTAGAACGCCGACAGAAAATAAAGGAAGAATGAAACTCGAAAGCTTCTAGGACATTATTTGTCGGGAACTCCACAAGCTATATATTGGTGAAAGAAATATTTTGTTTCATTGCTCTGTCACCGAGATATATGACTTACAAAATCGATAATTTTCAAAAATTAAAAAAAAACAAAATTTTAAAAACAAAGTGCTTTTTCACTCACAGATAATAGAGATCTGTAGGATGCGTTGCGTGGTCTATATCGACTAAAATATCTACTATGGAACTAAACACATTCCAAAACTTTCCCAATAGTTTGACACATACGGGATGGTCAGACACAAAATGGGTGCTGCAACAACTATTGAGCAGGAAGGGCGGAACGATGCATACTATGAATATATTATTTCTTAATTTTATTATAGTAGTAGTCGAAAAAAAAAATATTTATCATCGATTTAATCTCTTTATTGATAATATAATTACTTAAAAAAAAAAACATATATTTTTCAAAAAGCTGTGCCAAAAGTACACGTCGTGCTTAAAAATAGGTTTGTATATACGTAGTGTTTCTTTTTTCATTGTAGTCTAATAAAAAGGAATAGATGGCACCTTTGTCCAGTTAACACTATCATAAAGAAGAAAAGAAGTGGAACTTTTGAAGTTATTCCATTCCCTCCTCTGTCTCAATGGTGACTATACTTACCAAATTATTCTACCCAAATGATAATGCACCCCATCGATCTGCCTATACCAATGGCATATTTGGAAGGCCAATACTCTATTTCTGTGGTAGTTTAATCAGTGACTCTTCTGGAACCGTTTCAGTGGGTAAAGGGTTAACTATATTTTTATTGTTAAACGTATATTCGTATTCATATAATGATCACTGGATTTTATAAAAAATTACGTTTTTTGTTAAGATCATTGTCTTTAAAAGTTTAGGATTATATTGTATGTAATAAAAGATAGTTACTCTGACAAAATTAATACAGAATCTACATGAATCATTCACTTCTTTGAATTTTACTTTTCAAATGCAAATAGCACCAGTCGTAGTATAATCACAATTTGATTAATTTACAAGTGACGAAGTCAATAAAATAGAGGTGAAAAACTTTCATTCTTTAAGTTTAAAACTATATCTTATTAAGTAATCTCAGTTCTGAATAAACTAAAAGTAATTTACGTATAATTTTAGAACGTTGGATAAATATTGATTTATAGGACATTTTAAATGATGACGTTTTATATAATTTCTTGACTTATATGTGAATATGTGGACATCCAAATACACTGTGCAAAACACTGATATCAATCAGAAAGTTGATTCTTATCTACTTATCGTTGACATTTTTGTTTTCGAAACTAACACTCAGATCTATTAAATATTGATCTCATTATCTATTTTGTCATAGATTTCCAATATAACTGACTGCCTGTGTTGCTCGCCGTGTATACACAAGATACTGTATTCAAAGCGTTGTATCAACAGTCATGGAATGTTTCTGGATAAGTCATTAGCGGCTGTTTGTCTCGGATCGTCCATTTTCGATCGCATACTGGCTACATCATAACATACATCTGTTTTTATGACTAGTATGTAGCTAGATAGTATGTATGGGGAGCTCAAACAATTAAGCGCAAAAACTCTGCGTCAAGCTTACCTTCTATCCAGAGCTACAGCTGGTACTAGTTGTAGAAAAGATGTAGGACTACCGACTCTGCCACTAGACAGCACCTCATATCTTAAGGTTGTTGAGAGACAGGAATATTCTTCCTTTCATAAATTCATAGAATACTTATAAGCTATTGACCAAATTAAATATTTACTTGTCGTGAATGTCAACAAGCAAGAAAATTGTCTATTCTTTTAAATCATTTATTGATGTTCACAATATTTCGTCATACAAATTTCGAAATAGAAAAATGGTGTACACATTTGTGTAGATGTATAAATAGAATTTATTTATTATTTACTGTTTGTTTTTGTTTCGTTTATATAAAAAACAAGCATTTAAATTACAACAATAACAAACAAGGAAAAAAAACAAAAAAAAACTCATGCATGGAATTCACGAAGCAAAACCATCACGTATCTTTTTCTTTAAAATAAATAAAAATTCTATTTTTCAAAATGTGACTAGAGCATTATTCTTCATGGTTTTAGTTTATATTAAGAATTTCGTACTAAACTACTAATTGTAATATTTCTTTTTTTAACAATAATTCTAGAAATATTTTTCGGTAATGGACGTTGTAGCCATGATGATTGTGTTTTTAATGTACGTTCAATAAAACTTGTACGTTGTTGAACATCTTTAAATGTACGCATAAAATATGTTTGTAACCATTCTGGACCAATATCAGCTGTAAAAAAAACTAAACAAGCATTTTGAAATGCATCTATAAAATGTATCATTTGACTTTCTAATGTAAGTAAACGTTCAAGACATTCTTCACCACGTTTATAATGAATATAATTTTGATGTAAATGAATATCTGTTATATATAAACGTACAAATGACATTGTTTCTTCATATTGTCGCATAATATAATCATATTGATACATCATTTCATACATTTGATGACCTAAATATCATTATAAAAAAAAAAATTTTTTTCTACATGTTTGAATAATAAATTTCAAATGTAGATTACCTGGAAATGTACATGTTACGAATGTTGGATATGTTGATCGTTCCCATAATGGCATTTGATTACAACCTAGTAATGTTCGAGATATTGTTTCATTTAATTCATTAGTTAAACGACCATGTACAATTGTTTGTAAGGAATATGCAAGTGAAGGTATTGATGATGGAAGAAATTCACATAAAGAAAGCATATGATCATAACGAGACCAACCGGTAACAGCAACACCAGTAAAATTTACTTTATATTTTTCCCATGCTATATACATTGCTTCAAGCCATGTTTGTTGATTACGTTGATGATGACCAATATAGCTCATTGTTGTTATTTCACCAGATGAACCTTTATATGAACTTGCAACCCATACTTCAGGAAATGTCGAAAATCTATAGATAACATAATTATTCACATATAATTTGAATAACTGTTGATATTTTGTGCAATTTTTGTGTAAGAATATTCTTTTCGTTTTTTTTGTCATAGTTAGAAAAAAAGATCGATTCTTGTATTTCTTTCTCTGAGTAAAAAAACGACCTAAGAGCTATTGAATAATTATATGTAAGTTGTTTGCTTTAATATTACTTATAATTATCAATCTTTTGATCTTGTTTCAAGTGTTTATGTGTTAAAATAAAACCTTGAAATGAATGATCATCTATCATCATTCTTGAACAACTCAAATGTATTTATTATAGATCAAAAGAGAAGCTTAGGAAATTTTTGTTATCAGAAAATTCTTTCTATTAATATTATATATCCTCTTCTACGTAGTTTATCAATGTATATTTGCATCAAGTATTCATTATAGTAGTCCTTCAGAATTTTTCTCAAATTTTTGAACTATTCTATCTATAAAAAAATAAATAATCGATCTTTGATTGAAACTATTAAAACTTACTTAATCCAAAATGAGTCATCAAACCATGGTTTAATATCATCGACATATGCCCATATCATAGGTACAACAAGTTCAATTAATTCTGTCGCCTGTCAAAAAAACCAAGCACAGGTACTTGAATGAAATATGCATATAGAGGATTCTTTCTTACATTATTATATCCTGCATTGATAAGTTGAGAAAACATATCATGCCAAATAAATAGCTTAATTTGAGGTCGTTTTGATTTAATATACTTAGCAATACGAGTAACATGTCTAAAAATGAATATACACAAGAAAATAACTCAAGAATCACGAATTTAGTGTAAGGTTAATACAAGTCTTCCTTTTTTTCTTTTTGCTTTTACCAAAGATTTATAATAACAGTAAAGATCTAACCTTTTTATTTGTGGTTATTTAACATTTTGAAAAGCAAAGAAGAATGTCATCGCCTTCTGAGTTGTTCTTTCGTATACTGTTATCAATTGAAAAAAATTATCATAATAAATACAATAAAAGGCAGAACGAGTAGGAGAAACGAATATATGTATGTATACGCATAGTATATGCATCACGACACGTTCGTGTTCTCTCGTTTTTTCATCTTTTGCTTGTCATTACTATTGCTTGGATTCGATCATTAAATGTGTATTAACAATTAGGTGCTGCTAACCTCGTCTTATTCTCATTACATAACTGTGAATACGCCCTTTGCCCTCTCGAACTTGTCAAAAAAAAACGGTATTGGTACCAATATACGACACAAAAAAGAAGAAAAGACTAACGTGCTCACAATCATTCATATTATATACAATGAACTGGCAATATAAACAGGAACATTCTCTTGAACAACGTCGATTTGAATCTGAACGTATTCGAAGACGTTATCCCGACCGTATTCCTGTTATTGTACAACCGTTATTATCATCATCGTCATCATCGTCATCATCATCATCATCATCATCATCAATATTATCAACGTCATTATTTCATTCATTTCCATCTTCATCATCCTCATGCAATGAAATAACATTAGGACGTCTTGAAAATGAAAAATTTCTTGTACCATCTGAATTATCATTTGGTCAATTTGCTTATAATATTCGACGACGTTTACGTTTACGAGCCGAACATGCACTATTTTTTTATATTGGCTTATATGGTAAACAACCAATATTAAGCTCAACGATGGAAATGTTATATAATGAAAATAAAGATACAGATGGTTTTTTGTATGTATGTTATGCAGATGAAAAAGTTTTTGGATAAATTTTTTTTGTACTAATCTGTATAATTTTCTTTTTTTAATAAAAAAAAAATAAACATTACCTGATAAATAAATCAGCTTCATCACGAAAATGAAGATCAACACATTTTGGATGAATTAAACGATAATAGACTTCATCACAACCAATATGAAGATATGGAATTAATGGATGATGTGCTAATAATTGATCAATCATTTCTAAAAAAGAAAATTTGTCAATAAAAAATATCATTTAAATCATATGTATAAATATACCAAATAATAGTTTATAACTTTCTTCAAGACATGGTGTTATAACTTGTGGATATCGTGTATCTTCTCGTAAATGCATAAATTCTTTTAATTTAAGTACATATTCTAAATGTCCATAAACTTGAAGTAATGGCATAACTGTTAAATTATTTTCTTCAGCTAATTGTAATATGTTTTGAATATCATTTTTTGTATAAGCAAGATCATGTCGTAAAATAGATAGATGTTCCGTAAATGGAAACATATCTTCATATTCCATAAGTAAACCATTAGCACCAAGTTGTTTTAAATATGGAAATAATTTTTCAAAATAAACTACTTTTGGTGCAGCACCTTTTAAATCAAGATGTACAAAACGTTGAAGATTTTTTGTTTCTATAACTTTTAATATTAATTTAGGATCTTGTAATGGTGAAAATTGTTGAATAGAATTAATCAATTTTATTTGTTGATTATTATTTAGTATATCCAATGGTGAAGAAATTTCAGAAGTTTTCGATAAAATTTTTACTTGTTGTTTTTCATTTACAAATATTTTTGATGGTAAACTACTACTCGTTGCTAAACGTTTTGAAAGAAAATGATATCTTATTTTGTTATTTGGAATAGATTTATGTGAAAAATGAGAATCATATTCATTATGATGATGATGATGATGATATGATGAATTCTCTGGAAATATCACATGACGATTTTGATAGATTGCAAATAAACCTAATAAAATGATAGGTGAAAAAAGAACTGTTAGAAGACTACGACGTAAATAACGACGAGAGAGCATATAGAATGATAATGTAATGCGTAATAATGAAACAATATTGACTGTATATAATTAACTGAAATAGATAAAAATAAAAAGGAGATAAAAGTTTATGTAAAAAAAAGTGAAATACAAGTAGTAATAAACATAAAAATCAATTTGTTTTTTAAACTTCAATTTTTATATTCTAGTGAGTTTTAATCTAAAATTCAATGAAAGAATGGAAATCTTATTATTAGGACTTAGCAAATATCGATCGTGTAAAAATTGTAGAAAAAAAAACAAATGCTCAAAATAATGCTGTAAACTTATGAATAAATTAAGAAGAAAAAAGCACGAGCACAAGTAAATTTTCATCTATTTAAAATATTGCCCTAGTGATCGTCGACAATTGTAAATGCTTTCTTTCTTTCTTTTTTTTTAAGAGCAAATACAGTGCACTTTTATAAGGTAATATTTACTTTTATTCAGGCTGTCGTTTCTTCCATTCTATTCACTAGTAGTTATAAAATTAGGAAATAAAGTTAGCTGTGGATTCATTGAAAGTTAAATAAGAATTTTTTCTTTCTGACAAAATCTCATCGTTGATGCTTACTTGCCAATAAAATTTGGCAATGGATAGGAGAACATGATAAACAATTTTTTCAATCTCCTCCTTTTTCTCTGTTTCTTTCTTCTTTAGTTCTCTTACCTAAGTCCCTACGATAGTGTATATACATGGTTAGATGAAAGTTTATCATAAATCGAGATTAAATAAACATATCTATACATTTACAGCTATTACCTTTGCTTGTTCTCTTTCATCTTAAAGTAAAACGTATGCATCGTGAAGTAACCCTAATAACCTTACATGACATTTGTTTTTGTTCAATCACGAATGACAGGTCTTTTTCTTTTGATATATAGTAAAAGGAAAATTTGCCCACTAATACTAGACGATTCCTTTTTTTTCAAAACAACGACACTATATATGTGTCTCTCTCTATCTATGGCATTTTTTTGTGGACTCGTCATCGCAGAAGAATACTGTTCTTTGCTTTTACTAGCATACTACTTGCCATCGTAGGCTGTGTTCTATAAGAACTTGTAGTAGCGACGATCGTTATATTAGAGGTTAGTACGCATAAGAAAAAAAAGGGCGAAGAATAAAAAAAAAGCAAGAAAAAAGAAAAAAAAATAATGGATTATATTAATCAATGACGGGGTTCAAAAATTGGGATTCTATTTTTCTTGTAAGAAAGAAAGGAAACTTACTTAATTTTTATTATTACATTGATCTATATCCAAATAATATCGAATCAAAGATACAAAGAATGAATTTCGTATAGAAAAAAAAATTGGAATAGCATCAGATAAGAGATTTTTTTTCTCTTTTTTTCTTTCTCTTTCGACAAACGAATGAGAAAAAGATAGAACAGATAAGCTATTGTTGGTCATTTAGTAAGCTATGTAATCTTATCAACATCACATGAGAAAGGCAAAGAATATACTGTGTGAAGTCTCTATAGATTTTCTTTGTTCTATTAACAAGTATGTTCTATCTCTAGAGAACATATATTTGAGAAAAATAAAAGAAAAATATTAATTATTTATAAAACTCATATATATATACATTTATTAGTTTTATTATTTGTATAAATACGAAATTTTTATATGACATTCTTTGTTCAAGTAAAAAATATTTTTCTCATATGTTTGACACATTTTCTTTTGTACTAATCAATGGTAAACGTGTTAAGAATAAATAAAATAATAATGTACTGAATTATTCTCATGAGATTTTTTTAGATTGTCACAAATGCGTAGAATATTGGCTATTTCTTTTTTAACAATTGATAACTACTTTTTTTTAATAATTCTTTTGTAACAAAAAAGTTGAATTGTTCAGTCATTCATTCATTTATTCAATGGATCATGGCTTGATCAAATTTCCAAAAATGCACATCATGTCCGTAGTAAAATTATCGAAGCATAAGCGTAAAAAATTTCCACATCAACAGTAAATAAAATGCCTCAAGTTATTAGAAATCGATGCTTACAATGATTTTGAAATCAAACAAAAAAAGCAATATCAATAAAAATCTTCATAAATTTGATTTAAGTTCTTTAATAAATTATTCATTCTATTTCAAGTGGTGATGTAAGAAAAAATATATGATTCATATCAATGTTTCTTTCATTTTTTATTCTAATAATCATATTTAAGTACCTATATAGTTTTTATTTTTGAATCATATGATGGAGTTAAGGTGAAAATTATAGACAAGCATGAGTCGTTATTTTTATAATATTCATCCAGAAACCATATCAAGGTGACACGATTCACTTCCAATGGCTGTATAATGGCGATGACAGGCAAATTATACTTTTGCTTTTCTCTCCATGTACACGTGGAATCTGATCAATTAAATGAGTCACTGAAGGCTAAAATATAATATATATACTCATGTATGAACTTGCTTCTGTTGTTTTTAATAAGTGATAGGTTATTGCGTAAGTATTGTGAAATGATCTTTATATTTCTATCATGAGACAACATACATACTAGTCATTCGTTTGTTAGATTATACTGTAGAGGGAAGCATCAAGTGCATTTTTATTCAACCAGCAAAATGGCTCATGGGTTATCTGATTCTGACATGAAGAAAGAACATTTTGATGCACAACATGATTTAGATGATAAATTAGATAAATTAGCTCAATGGATTAAAGAAAGTAAACACTTTATTGTATTTACTGGTATGTTTTAAAATCGTGAATATTTTTCAATGATCATATATATTTGTATTCTTAGGAGCTGGAGTATCCACATCGACTGGAATTCCTGATTTTCGTAGTGGAATGGATACTGTCTTACCAACTGGACCAGGTGCTTGGGAATTACGAGAGTAAATATACATAAAACAAGTATGAAATCAATGCAAAATTTTATTGCTATTTTTTTTCATTAGTCATAATGCATCAAGATCAAAAAAAGCCGTTGTTCTCAATGATATGCATAAAGCTATTCCATCGCCTTCACATATGTATAATTGAATTTTTTTGTTTTTGAAAATAAAAATCGAATCTTAATTTTTTTTGTTTCATTTAAAAAGGGCTTTAGTTGAATTACAACGTCGTGGAATATTAAAATGTTTAGTATCACAAAATTGTGACGGTTTACATTTACGTAGTGGAATGGATCCAACTTGTTTAGCTGAATTACATGGTAATATGAATTTAGAAACATGTTCAAAATGTGGTGCTAAATATTTACGTGATTATGATGCAGCCATTGGTCTTCTAAATCATTATACAGGTCGTAAATGTGATAAACCAGAATGTGGTGGTCACTTGAAGGATTCAATTATTAATTTTGGTGAAAATTTACCTTCAGATGAATTAGACAAAGCATTTAAACATGCACAAGGTGCTGATCTTTGTCTTGTACTTGGTAATCTTCAATTATTCTTATTAAAAAAAAGAGAAAAACTATTTTTTTCCTATGTATTTTATTTTTAAGGTTCTAGTTTGACAGTAACACCAGCAGCTGATATACCACGAATAGTTGCTAAACGCAATAAAAAATTAGTTATTGGTAATCTTCAAAAAACACCATTATCTTCAATGGCTACACTTAATATACATGCATTTAGTGATACAATTATGCAAGGTCTTATGGAAAGACTTAGTATACCAATTCCACCATGGATTGTTCGTCGACGTGTACGTGTTACACGAGAAAATACGTCTGACGATAGAAATTATGAAATTCTAGTCGAAGGACGTGATCCGGATAAAGCAAATATACCATTTAGTCTTTTTAAATCTATACAAATAAATAATGGTGAAAAGACAATAGATCAAATGAATAAGGAACCATTTATATTTGAAATATCAAAAACGAATTCTGATCCAATTAATATTGAACTTCACTTTTTTGGTCATTATAACGAAATTCCATTTGATCTTAAGTATACTAATGTTAGCAATATTCCTCAAGAAGAAGAATTCTATTTATTTTATAATCCAATGATAGGACAATGGCGTAAAACAACAAAAAAAGATGATTTTCCTCTTTAAATCTTCTTTGTAAAACATGTATCTATCTATTTTTTGTTTTAAAAGCATATAAATATGCATTGTATGATAATCCAGATAATTGAACTATTTCTCTTTTTTTTATTCTAAGATTTTCTGCAAAAAAAGTACAACTTAGTCGATAAATAGAACTTATATCTTGATTCAATTTCATCTTAACAAGAAATATAAAAATAAGAATAATCATGGTAAAAATTTTCTATTAAAAACTAACTTTAATATTCATCTAGATCTTGAAAAACATACGATGAACGAGTCATTGAACAAATGTCAAACACTGTTTCTCTTCAATAAAAAGATGTTTAAAGAAAATTTTTTTTGTGAGAAGATGAAGATTTTTTCTTTTTCGAATCGTATGTAAGTTATTTTTACCATACGTTCATAGATCAAATGTCACAAGAGAAAAAAGAAGCACCTTCAAAATAGATCCGTACTTTTCATATAATGTTGAATAACGATGGAAAATATCAATTTCTAAGTCTGCTTAGTAAATACATGTTGAAACAATAAAATTTATATCACCTCGTAGAAAATTTTCTTCTCTTTCGCACTATATATAACATTATTTTGTTATAATTACTTTTTATCATCTAAAATAACAACACAACTATGAGAAATAGTATTGATAATAGCTGATGTTCTTTCTCGAAAGATTATAACTGATTGTTGATTAACTAACGTTGAAACGCTTAACTAATTTATGTTGATTAATCCCACAACGATTATTAACAGATTTCGTCAGCACGCTTAATTTTTTATTAGAAAGTTCTATTGGATGACCAATTCTTGATAAACATTTGGTTTGTCTGTATTTCAAATATTTGTTTAATATGTTATAAATCGTTATTCTTGGAATGCCTTACTTTATAAAATAGTTAAATATCATTTTACATGATTTATTTCATGAATCAATGTAAAAATAGCAAATTGATTGTGCGAGTGTTTTTCTTTCTTCTTGAATCACTGTATTTACAAATATATAACAAAATTAAGTTATCTGCAGTTCGACAGAGAAGAAAATGTCCTGCGGGCTGATAGAAATTATTATCTCAACATGTGTTTACTCAACAGATATAGGAGTTGATTTTTTGCAGCATTATTCTACATTGTATGAAAAGAGTGTGGAGATAAATTGAGGATACTTTTTTCTTCGCTTGAGACATTTCATTTATGAACGTATGGTTAAAATAACTTACATACGACTCGGACGAGAAAAAAGTTCTTCGTTTATTCATAAATAAAATTTTCTTGTACCATCATTCTATCGAAAAGGAATAGAATCTGACATTTTCCCGTTACCTTCGCATCATATGTTATTTGTAATCTCTCGTCAAGTTTTTTGTTAAAGTTATTCAATTAATAATAAGTGACATTTAGCGAATGTATGCCTTTTTATCATTGAATAATATTAACACAGTTTCAAGTACATATTCCATTGTTGAATAAATCTATAAATATATCTAAAGGAGCATGCTTAAAAAAAGACATCTATAATACATAAGTTATTTTGCAAGAAAAACAAATTTTTATTTTAGTTTTCATATGTGCATTTGAAGAACGTACTATGCTACTAAGAAAACATAATTTATTTTGAAGATGCGATATAGACTTAGAGACCAAGGTGATCACGGTTTCCACGATGACGAGCTTTTTAGCGACAGCTGTCCAACTATTTTTTTTGCTTCTCTTTTTTTCTACTATATAAAAAGTAAATGCTTTAGATAGTTTAAATAATTATCCAATATGAAATCATTTAAATCAGATCAAGTATATATCGATTTTCAGTCTCTCATGCATCATGAGTAATAGATGAAGATGTAACTCGATACTTTTGTATCTACTATTTTCATAAACTTTGCCACACCGCAAGCCTAGAGATCTTTCGGAAGTAACGTAACCTTTTTTTGGCCATGTCTAATCCCATCCTCCTCCTCCTCCTCCTTCTTCATCGTGTGATGAAACGTAATTTTTTGGGATCTCCCTAAAATGCTAAACTTTCTTTCAAATCAGTGTCTTCTTTTTGAATTGACTATTTTCATTATTTGTATGCATTTCGATAGCTTATTTAAATTCATTTCAACAATCAAGTATTTCAACATAAAAACAGTATCAGTTGTTCGAAATACTTGTTTTAAAACACGATCAAGATCAGGATTAGATTGTGTAATGGCTCGTTATTTTTTCTTTTATTTATCTCTCAAATGTTTATGAGTATGGGTATACTTTTTAAGACGTTTGAGTTTAGTCATTTTTTAATTTCGGTTGTTTGAGCAATATACAGCGCGGCTCAATTGATTTTTCCCCTTAATATATTTTTTTGTTTTTATTACTATACTTCTTCTTATTTATTAACCTACTATATATATAGCGAGAAAGCCCAGAAAGCGTTACGTCTTCTGATACATTTACATTAAACTTCAACTGCAATTTAAAGTGTAAACAATTTATTAGGAAAGAAAGTGCCATTTTTTTACTACAATACCTGGTGTCCATAATGTTGTAACGGTTGTTATTTCGCATACATCTCGGCTTAGGTAAATGATAATAACTTGAATTTTTTCCCGAAGATACATCGTGAAAAGCTCTATAAAAAATGTATGGACCAACTCCTATAGTGAATTAGAATAGTCTTTCAAACATTTTCAATATGATAGAAAATGACACTGTCATGTAGGTCGTTCATTTTGAGTATAGGAAAAACCATTAGAATAAGTAAAAAAGGAATTCAATCATGCAGTTTTTATACAGCTTTTCACCATGCATCCTCTGGAAAAACATTCAAGTTATTATCATTTACCTAAGTCCAGATGTACACGAAATAAAAACTGTCACAATAGGCTTGATTGAAGGTGCTTATTTTGTTAAGGTAAAGTTATGAATATAAATGGCAAGGGGTCCATACAAGCCATTCTGGGCCATCCCCAGCTTTTCTCCATTCATAGTTTACCTAATGCAGAATTCCACGAGTTTTTTCGAAATAAGAAAAGTTCGTCTGAATGCTTCGAAACACATACAAGTTGACTCTACTTTTTATGCTGATTTCAGATATATTACTCGTTTTTATTGAAAGCCTACTTTTTTCGATCGAAATCTAGTACTGACCGGTCAAAAATTGTAAAATAATAGTGTCTAAACGAAATTGAAGTCGTCTTTTTTTTTTTTTTTATCAAACGCCACTTGTAAAACAACTAAAAAAAAAGTATTTGGTTTTTGTAGCTTTTTTTACAAGCTTTCGGAATCCATTGAAAACCCACGTCGTTTTTTTTCTTTCTCAAGATATTAAGACTACAGCGAAAAGAAATGATAATACAACTATATGATTTTCATACTCATTTGGAACAATATTTACGTCGTGACTCAATAAGACTTCAACCATACGAGCTAAACTTTTTAGTGAAGAAAGACTATAAGATGGATAGTTGATTGATATAGTTTTCAGTGGGAAATATCGTAGTATGGGAAAATTTATACGAACCATACTTCCATGTATGAATCATGTACTTATAGTACAAATGTGAATATCAATAAATTGAGCGAAAATGGGTCTGGATCCTTCAGAAATTACTTTATTTTGTTACTAAACGATTCTTCGTGGAGTTCTGCATTAGGTCAATTGTGAAGAGAAGGAAACTGAGGATGGTCCAAAAATGGCGCTTATGCACCCCTGTTCTTGTAACTTCACACATATCGTTGATTTTTTGTTAGCATTTATTATTTATTTGTACAAGATTTTTGTATACATATATATGTTTTGTTGTTATTTTTAATTAAATAGATTTTTATTGATTGTTCATGATGTATCGGGAACAATTGTTGTGATGATCGTAAGGATTATCGTGCATATTAATATATGATGATATAGGATGAAATAGTTTTCGAAGATGCTTCTGATCCGCATTTTCAAGAAGATAGTTATTGTCACCATGACACAGTAACGAAAAGTGTTCAGATTCTTGGTTATGTTAATTTAACTGAAAGTGATAAACAAGCTTTACAAATTTCTATAGCAAAAAAAAGGTTCAGTTCTTATCAGTTTGAATATTATTGTGTATAGTTAATTAAAGATTTAATTTTATTCTATAGATATTGATGCTACTCAAACGAGATTTGTATTTTATGCTGGTGGAGGTAAGAATAAGACTTTTTTGAATTTGCTAATATCTTTAGTTTTTTTTCTTTTTTCAGTGTACTATGAACTTAAATATGGTATGTCTCGTTTGATTTGATTTGGTCTTTTTGAATAATTGAATGATTTATTATTAGACCATACACTTGATGATTAAGATAAAGTAGTACTAGATATTGGTTATGGTATATTAAATAGTGAAGATTATTGACTTACCAAAAATTCTTGATCAACATATTCGGGTAATGATAGTTCTGTAAGTTACTCATGTCTCAAAAGAATAATGATTGTGGTGTAACTGCTGCAGCAACTTATGTTATTATTACATAAAGTGCAATCTCAATGTCTTCTTTTTTGTTATACATATAAACACATTGGATTCCTTTCCTTTTGTATTTTATTCAACGTTGTTAAATAAAAACTGAAGAACAAAAAAACAAGTTTTATATTTCTTATCATATAAAATATGATCGTCTCCAGTGATGTCCAGTTATTTGATGAATATTCGACAAAATAAATAGAGCTGATATTGAATTGATTTCTTAAATAACGTGTCAACTTGTCCATTCACTAAAAACACTTCGAACCATAATTAATGTATCACATTCTCAAAGAATATAAAAATTTGAAATAACTTAAAATGTAAATCTCGACATTGTTCATTCGATGATTAAGATAATGTTAGACAATCAATATGAATTATTGGACCAGGAATAGATATATATGAATGTTCTATATGGAAAAATATTGTTTGTTTACCTTATATAGCAGAAAAACTATTTTTTACACTTTTCAGATCATGCAGATAGTAATTGTATGATAGTTAAATAAAAAGAATAATGATGTGATGGTAATA